AAAATCAAGTTTTCTCCGCGATGTAGATGACAAACCCGCCATTGCTGTGAATTAAACGAAACCGCTGGTTAAATCCCGTAATTATTTCGCGGCTGAAACTCACCAGCTAACTTCAATTAAACATTGAACTGACAAAAGTAACAAATCTTTGTGAAAATAACCAACTTTTGATTGGAAATTTTTGATTATTATAATTATCATGTGAGCTTATTGCAGAACAGACCAAAATAGCAGCATACTATTAATATCAACTTTTTAATCAAACCAGTGCGTCTCGCCAATTTTGAAATAGTAGATAATAATTCAGAAACACAATTAGTAACTGATCACTAATCACAGTGATTGCTGATGGTGGGGTTTCCTGCTAGTTCAACAATAAAAATATTCACTTATACAGCGCAAATTCGCCCCTCTAACGCAGAAGCCTCGTTTGCTCAGTAAGTAGCGCATTCGATCCCTGATAGGCAGGTCCCAGGTTCAATTCCCGACAGGTAAATAATAATTTGAAAGTTGATCTCATGGAGAATTAATTGACTACAGATTAAGATAGGTAAAAAGTCAATTTTTTCTTTACGATTTATCATTTTAATAAATTTAAGGAAGCAAGAGTTTTTTTGCGCATAACTTTTTATGTAAAGAAACTCGACCTTTTTACGTAAAAAATCTTGTACTCTTTACGAATTATTCTTGTAAAAAAGACTACATCGGCATTTCATTTTTGGTCTATTTTACGTCTTTTTTTACGAATTTTTTTTTGGTAAATTTTACGTCTTGGTGCTACTAGGAAATTTGATTCAATGATCGGGCTCAAAAATCGATTTAATGAAAGATCGATTCAACGACCCTATCTTCGAGACGTTGGGAAAAATTGAATGGGATCGGATCATTCATGAGTGGAAAGGATATCAGTACTTATTTCCAGAAATATGACGGCTGCAAATCGAATTCTCAGGAGACGTGTTTGTTAAGAATCATCTTCATTTTCGATCAAGTTATCAACTAAGTTCTGTGATAAGCGAAAAAAAAAATAATAACCGATTATTTCGATTTGATTCCGTAAGAAAAATCGATTAACGCGAAAGATCGGCGTGAAAGAATCGATTCGATCTTATCGATCTTTTGGTGTTGGAGAATCGATCTATTGGAGGAACAATCCAAGAATCGCCATCATTACCTTACAATAGTCTACACATAGTCCTGACATAAAAGAGTTATGTACCGTGGACCGAAGTGAATAGGAAAAGATTTGAACTTTAACAGTTCGGAACCCTCAAAGGCAGTGACGAATATTATTTTTTTTACGTATATTTTTTAGTCTCTATTAGTACTGCCGATTTCCAGAAGATTGTAGCTTTTCCAAAAAAGTTTCCCCCCCTTTTTTTTATTTTTATGGTTTATTCCTATTTACCCCGGGGTGGGGTGAATAGGAACGCATGCGGGGAGAATAGGAATGGTGGCGGAGTTTTAAAAAAAAATCGAGAGAACAAAATTTTGGAAAAAATGACCGAAACAACAATTTTTAATGAAAAAAAAACAAATGCATTACATATTCATGATCAAATGTAATGAATTAGAAAAATAAATAAGTATAGGAACAAGACTTAAAGTTAATTTACACAGTTTTTGAGTATCTTTGAACTAGGTGCAAGGTATCAAAGGAATCTGTTAAAAAAATACCTACATGCTAAATAAAAAATAAACTAGCCTTTGACATAAAGGAGCCTACTTAATCAGTCAACGAGGCTACGATTACCGAGAAATGAAAAACACTTATAAACTATTGGAATAAAAGAAGAAGTGTAAGTTTTGTCAAAACTTAAAAACTAGAGGAATAAAAGAATAAAAGGGGCTTGGTTACCCTAGAGTACCTGTATAGCGAGAGTATGGACAGATCGCTTCATGGAGGGCTTAGGGCCCAAAAGTGCAGCCACCCTTCTAACCAACTTAGCGCACAAAATTTCACTGCCAGTCTGCAGATTCCAATTCTAACCAAAATGGCTAAGAATGTATATAAATGAGCGTTCTTCCGCAAAAATGAGTAAAGTTATGCAAAAACTAAGTCAAATACGTGCTTTATAAACGTAGTATTCATAACAATTGTATTAGTAAATCGCTCTAGATAATTGAAATTCATAGGTTGGCTGCATTTCTGGGCCCTAACTTTATTCGCGGAGGCACCGGTGAAGGCCTGATGGATTTTCGGAGTTTCACATCTGTCGATACTCTCGCTATACAGGTACTCTAGGTTACCCAGGCACTAGCTAAGTAGGTAAGTAAGTGCCTACGGCACAATAACATAGCCACAAAAGGGGCAGGGACGTATATTCTCGGCATTTGTTGATCTAAGAAGGAGAGACTTGCATGTCAGAACCAAAAACAGTGAATTCGTTCAAAATTTATTCAGAATTTTCAAATAGAAGCATCAAAAACAGCTTCTATGACATTAATATGATGCAGGATGTGAATAGGAGCGGCATTCCTATTCACCCCAAAATCATCAATTTTCAGCATGTGATTTTTATTTTTGGAGCACTCAGTACAGAAACCGAGATTAACATTGAAAATTTCCTGCAAAGTCATCAACAACATACAGGGTGTTCGAAAAGTCCCCTGCCCCCCTCTAACTTTTGACCTAATTGAGGTAGAGATTTAAAACTTGGAGGGTGTTCCTAGATCAAAGGGAGCTACTTTTTGACCCCTTCCCAAAAATTTTAGGGGGCCCCCCTTGGGAGGGGAGGGGGTTACGGACCCTAACTTTTTTTTTTTCAAATGGGAAGACCCCCTTTGTGATACCTCGTTCGAAAGAGCATAAAAAAAAGAAAATTTTTCGCGCAAACCCGAAGTCATTATCTCAAACCTTTTCATAATGGCGGCCGGTCAAAGTTCAAAATGGCCGAAAATTGGCACCTCTGCTATTTGCACATGGATTTGCTTGAAACTCGGTATCTGGGGGTATTTTGGCACCAGAAAAACGAATTTGACGTTAGATTTTTTAAAAAAAACCCTAATTCTTCAAAATGGCCGCCGGTTCAGACTCAAAGTGGCCGAAAATTTGACAAACTCGATTTTTTGGCAATGGATTCACCTGAAATTCGGTAAATGAAATTTACCATTTTTAAAATGGCCTTCGATTAAATGAAAATGGTCAACAATTGGCAACCTCGACTTTTTGCCGATGGATTCGCCTGAAACTGAGCTTATCGTTTTCCTCCTACCCAGATACCCCCAAACACCGAGTTCCAGGCGAATCCATCGGCAAAAAGTCGAGGTTGCCAATTGTTTACCATTTTGAACTTTCATCGGCGGCCATTTTGAAAAATTAGGGTTTGTTTAAAAATCTAACGTCAAATTCGTTCTTCTCGGGTCAAAATACCTCCAGATACCGAATTTCAGGTGAATCCATTGGCAAAAAATCGAGTTTGTCAAATTTCGGCCACTTTGAGCCTGAACCGGCGGCCATTTTAAAGAATTAGGGTTTCTTTTTAAAAATCTAACGTCAAATTCGTCTTCCTGGTGCCAAAATACCCCCAGATACCGAGTTTCAAGCAAATCCATGTGCAAAAAGCAGAGGTGCCAATTTTCGGCCATTTTGAACTTTGACCGGCCGCCATTTTGGAAAGGTTTGAGATAATGACTTCGGGTTTGCGCGAAAAATTTTCTTTTTTATGCTCTTTCGAACGAGGTATCACAAAGGGGGTCTTTCCATTTGAAAAAAAAAAGTTAGGGTCCGTAACCCCCCCCCCTCCCAAGGGGGCCCCCTAAAATTTTTGGGAAGGGGTCAAAAAGTAGCTCCCTTTGATCTAGGAACACCCTACAAGTTTCAAATCTCTACCTCAATTAGGTCAAAAGTTAGAGGGGGAGGGGACTTTTCGAACACCCTGTATAAGAGAACAAAATGTAATTGAAAATTTGACTTACCTTAAGTTATTATGCCCCTGACAGATCACACTCGCAGCCCCCCAAAAATCGCGGGTGATCAGTTTGTTGTTTGAGGTAATGTTTACATCTGTTGGTCGGTGGAAAAAAAAAACGTTGGACATCACTTATCACAGTATCACAGTCAGTGGTGTTGTCTCTGCACCCGAACATATTGGCGCCACCAACATTTTCATAGCGCAGATACGCGCCGCACAGTGGGCCGAAAACGAAAATTTTTCAAAATCGTTCCTATTCACCCCGCGATTCCTATTCTCCCCGGTCCACGGTATTCGTTCGAAATGAATCGTTCATACTTATTCAATTCAAAGACACCTAAGTATGTCTTTGACAAAAATAATAATGTCACGTGGTATCGTTGACAAAAATAATCTCCGAAGATACCTGTTAAAATTATTGTAAACCTAATGGGATTATTCTGAAAGATTGCCTTTGAAAAGCGTCTGTAGAATGTGGCTCCTCTCACACCGGAAATGCCTACTATTTACAAGCATACGCACCAGGGTCATCTGTGATGTTGTTTTGAAGTCCAATCCTATGCATGTGGCGAGGTGTGGATACAGATAAGAGGACCGCATCAGCAATAGCTTCATGAAATCCTAAATGAGGAATGTCAAGATATAAAGTTAATAGTAAAGAGGTGAATAACCGTGGTCAGAGCTAGATACTTTTTAATAAGGGGGGAGGGCAGGAGTGTCAGAGAGACACCTGATCAAGGGGGTCGGTCACAGGAAGGCACCTCACCGAAGGGGGTCTAAGAGCCTTGACCACCTCTAGGTAAAGAGCCAGTTATAAGCTGGGATAGGTCGCTGTCATTCTTGGTGTCCCGCCTAGTTGTATGTCGTCCTTGAATGGATTACAAACATTAACAACAACATGGTAAAACAAACAGTATTACTTGTAAGTATACTATGCAGAGTCACGATAAAAAACAATTTAATGCCTATAATTGCTGCTAACTGCCTTTCAAAGTTGTGACCAAAACGCTAAAAAGGCGAGTCTCAAAAATTTTCGCCGCGACTAAAAACGCGTTCCGGCAGCACTAAAAATCATCCGATTTCGCTCAAATTCGGGGACATTAAATAATGCTTAGGATTAAGCAAAGAGAACCATGTTATACGTTTTACCATGTATATTTAAGGTATCAAGTCATGCCGAAGCTTTTCAAATCGCCAGGGTTCATCTTCAGGGCAAAAATTTATAAACGAAAACCAAGCAGCAAACGCATCAAGCGACCGAAAAATGTTGCAAGTACTGGAAAAATTTGAAATTAGGAAAAGAATACCGTCCGGTCAAAATTTGTTAAATATCCAGTTGGATATTGATAGTGCTGCTAATCCTTTGATTAACTTATGTTGTAATCTCTAGTGCTCCGTTCGGTGCTGCACTCTTGTGCATACTGGAGATGATGCATGTGTGAGGAATTTACGATTTGACCACAGATTCTTATTTAAAAGTTCGCGAGAAACACGACGGTGCCACTGGTTTTCTCTGAAATCAACACCCAAGCTCATAAAAAGCTCTATCAAGTTGAGGCCAAAATGGAGAAGATAGGTATCCCACGCTATCCTGAGCCTGAGAGTCCACGTCTACATCAAGACAAACTCTCCATGCAAAGATAGGGAGCAAATACATTGACAGGGCTGCCATTTTAATTGGGGACTCCAAAACTGAAAACACATCAACCCTGCTAATGTATTTGCTCCCTATCTTTGCATGGAGAGTTTGTCTTGATGTAGAGTCCCTTTATACCCAGAGTTAAGACAACTCGATTATCAGCTGACTGGCAGCCGGCCTTGGCTGGCCATGGAGGCACAAACGAGTGCACCCAAACGAACGATATTGAGGGATAAGGATAAGGAATCCTGCGATGTCTGTCATCCCAAAACAACGACATCAACAGAATTGATCAATTATAACGAAAATGAGATTGGTTTATGAATAATTTCTTAATCTTTTTTCAACAATTTACTCTTGAAAAACCACAATTAGGTAATATTTTCTAATTTTTGTTCACATTCGAGTCACCGCCATCTTGGTGCACTCGTTTGTGACTCCATGAGCGAGAACCAATCAGAATTGGATTTTTTTTAGGCCACTTTCAGCCCAACCAAAAGTGAGTTGTCGTAACTGTGGGTATAGGGGACTGTATCTTGATGTAGACGTGGACTCACAGGAAAGCGTGGGATATCCCCTCCATTTTGGCCTCAACTTGAGAGCTTTTTTTGAGCCTGAGAGTTGATTTCAGAGAAAACCAGTGGTATCATTGTGTTTCTCGCAAACTTTTACGTTAGAATCGTTAGTCAAATCGCAAATTCCTCACACATGCAACATCTCCATTAGCGTACCTACCTACTGCTTGAAGATTACCTACCCTCCTTTGGCTCTGCTGATTTGTTCACTAGTTATTCGAGCTCCTTATAGGACGCTATTGGTGCCACGTCACAGAAAAGCGATATATATCGATTTTTTCGCGTTGGTAGCATTGAAAGAGGTTATATGCCAATGTTATTGTTTGGATATAATGGAGAATCCCTATGATGACGTCGCCACTAATAGTGTCTATCACCTCACTCGGTGTACTGTTCTAGTCCTGTATTGTTACTGTTTCTTTCTTTTTGGTATTTTCACTAAACTTCTGCAATGTAGTGCTTACCAGTTAATTTGTCTTGCGTTTGTTTGTTTTTCGTTTATTAATTTTCGCCCTGAAGATGAACCCTGGTGGTTTGAAAAGCTTTGGCATGAATTGATACTCTAATTAAACATGGTAAAACATGTTGCTTCTCTTTGCTTAATCCTTATATTTTATGCTACTCAAACCATAATGTTTCATTAAATGTTAACCATATAATAAGACAATGAAACCACCGAACATCGATGTTCCGAGAAAATTTTTTGGATGGTTAAAATTTGGGACACCCTGGGGTCTAAAGAAAGATGTCTGAAGGAAAAGTCCAGCTCCTTAGTTTCAAAGTTAGTCGCAACTTTTTGGTTGGAAATACCTACTTGGGTGGACATGGAGACTCGCAGGAGAGGGTGCGAGGATACGCAAGAGTGGGTGCGGGGACAATCAGGAGTGGGTGAGTGGGCGTTCCAAAAACGAGTGCACAGTATCCGGAAGGTGTCCATCGTTTTTTCCAGAGCACCCTGTAGATTTGTCAGCACCCCTCGACTAGAGTCCCTTTATACTGAGAGTCAAGACAATTTGAATCCATTTCTGATTGGTTCCCGTATTTTAGGCCTACACAGTGTCACAAACGGGAATAAAGATTACATTTTCACCAATTGCAAAGATTATAATCTAGAATGGACCAGGGAATTACGGGTTCGGCAAGGAACAAACAGAATGAGAGGAGGAACGGAGAAAGGCATTTGAGAATGGGCCGATCAAAGATTACGAAAAACGTTCAATTTCTGTAATCTTTATTCCCGTTTGTGACATCCATGAGCCGAATTGTCTTGACTCTCAGTATAAAGGGACTCTACCCTCGGCTGATTTTTAGATTTGCGAGCCCGACGTTACAAAATTGACCTAGATTTAAATTGACACATTTTCGGGTTACCCACAGTGGGTTTTAACTAAATCTAATTAAGAAAATGAAAGTCCCCATATCTGAAAGCGGAAAAGTACAGCGAAACACCTCAGGAAAACATCCTCGCTGAAAAGAAAATCATTCGCTGGGCCTTTTTTTTTGCCCCCCCCCCCAAGCCAAAATGGCGGCTGATATGCGCCGCCGCGGGGTGCAAATGTTACAACTCCCTCACAATGTCAAGTGACACATCGATTCCTATGTAATTTTGGTCGTAGAATCCGAATATGAGATCAGAAATCCCTCACGACTAAAAGGGATTGCGCAAATTCAAGATGGCGGCCAAAAATAGGCCCCGGAGTAAAAATTCTCAATTCCAGCTTTTGGTGACGAGTGAGATGTCTTTTTTTATGTTTTTTAGGTCATAGGATCCAAATTTGAGGTCAAAAATTCCCTTCTGGCCGACAGGGATCCCTCAAATCCAAAATGTCTTCCATTTTGGGGATGACATATTATTTCCGAAAGACGCGTATAGTCGAGTGAGGTGTCTTTTTACATGTTTTTTGGACCACATAATCAGGAACTGGGATCCAAACTGTGTCCCTGTGGGCCGGAAGGTAAGATTTGTCCCTCAGCACCTTGATTGTAACGTTTTTATCAACTATTTAAATAAAAACTCAGAATTTCACTGTTAGAACGGCGCCAACCACACCAAGAATGCTCTATTCTTACAAATAATGTTTGACCTTTTTGCCTAGGAGGGGCTGTAGTCCCCTGCTTCACAAAAAAACTAGCGCAAACTAAATAGAGCAAACTAAATTCAAGTTTCCATTTACAAAAATTAAATCAAGTTAAATTATTTATTCTTATATTGATACATAATACTTCTATTATTACTACATGATGTATTCGTATTCAGATAAAACATGTCTACATGATGATTGCATTCATACAGTTGAATCTTCGTCAATGTCTTGAGAAAAAACTGTGATTAAATTTAAAAGATAATTAAAAAAAAAAAAAAAAAAAAAAAAAAAAAAAAAAAAAACAAGAACAAAAACCGGCCCAACAAATGATTTTTGGAACCCATTTTGGCCACCATCTTGGATTTGAGGGATCCCTGTCGGCCAGAAGGGAATTTTTGACCTCAAATTTGGATCCTATGACCTAAAAAACATAAAAAAAGACATCTCACTCGTCACCAAAAGCTGGAATTGAGAATTTTTACTCCGGGGCCTATTTTTGGCCGCCATCTTGAATTTGCGCAATCCCTTTTAGTCGTGAGTTATTTCTGACCTCATATTCGGATTCTACGACCAAAATTACATAGGAATCGATGTGTCACTTGACATTGTGAGGGAGTTGTAACATTTGCACCCCGCGGCGGCGCATATCAGCCGCCATTTTGGCTTGGGGGGGGGGGGCAAAAAAAAAGGCCCAGCGAATGATTTTCTTTTCAGCGAGGATGTTTTCCTGAGGTGTTTCGCTGTACTTTTCCGCTTTCAGATATGGGGACTTTCATTTTCTTAATTAGATTTAGTTAAAACCCACTGTGTACCGTAAGACAGTTAGTCCTCTTTCGATCTAGGAAACTACTGGGTCAATTTACTTTGAATTTGTTTTAAATTGCAGCTCTTAGGCTCCAGATGTGCCAGCATCCCTTGATCTTCCGCTTTGCACTACCGACGTTGCAAAATTTACCTCGAATTGATAACGACTTATTTTCGTCTTTGCCACTGGCAGTTGGATTACATTTAGCAAAAAGGAACTAGCGCGATTACAGTGTGTTCAAACTTTTTCTTTTCCTTTAAAAATACTTAATATATGTAAGGTATTGAAATTTACACTATTATTTTCCTTTTTTATAAACAATGTGTTGGCGGGAAATGACAACTATTTGCTATTTTGACAGATTTTCAAGATCATAATGAAGAAGCAACATTTTTGTAACACTGTAATCGCGCTGCGTTTCTTTTTTTCTGAATATGACCCAGTTAGTCCTTCTTCGATCTCGGAAACTATTGGACCGATTTGCTTCGGATGGAAGCTCCTAGGCTCTGGATGTGCTAGAACCCCTCGGTTTATCGATTTACGCGACTGATGTTGCAAAATACAAGAGGAACAGAGGTAAGGTATGGTAGCTTGAGACACATACGACAAAAAAAACAAAAAATCAGTGGGACACAAGGCTAAAATTAGTAAACACAAAATGCAGGACGTTTCGGCTGGTCACCCTTTTTCCTCCGCTAAACACAAATAAAAAATTAAAACCAAGGCTAAAAAAACACTACATTAAAACGCGTGTGATCAGCCCATACGTAAATTAGGTCTGATCAAAATATCTGGCACTCACTTTAATTTATTTTGTTTATTACTTATTCTTTGAAAAAATCATTTATTACACTAGGGTTTGATGTTTTTAATGGAGAAATATCAACATTATGCAGTGAAATTAGTATTGAAGTCATTTCTATTGAATGATCCAAAAGTCCTTTCCACTGCTTCTAACATTTTACCCAACTGAGGTAAAGATTTGAAACTTGGGGGATGTCCGTAGGTAAAAAGGAGCTACTTTATAGTCCCCCTAATACTTTCAGAGGGCCCCTTGAGGGAGCAACGGACCCCAACTTTTTTTTTCAAATGAGAAGACCCCTTTTGTGATATCTCATTCGAAAGAGCATAAAAATAGAAAACATTTTGCGCAAACCTGAAGTCAATATTTCAAACCGTTTCAAAATGGCGGCCGGTTAAAGTTCAAGATGGCCAGAAATTGACACCGGTTGTTTGTCAATGGGTTTGCCCGAAAATCGGTATCTGAAGGTATTTTCACACGAGAAAAACGACTTTGACGTAGGTAAGATTTTTAAAAAAAACGAAATTTTTAAAATGGCCGCCGGTTGAAGTTCAAAATGGCCGAAAATTGCCTACTCGGTTTTTTGCTGAAACTTGGGACTTGGGGGTATATTAACACATTTGAAATTAGATTTCTAAAAAAAATAATTTTCGGCCTTTTTAAAATTTAACAGGCGGCCATTTGGGAAATTTTTGTTTTCTTTAAAATCTCAAGTCAAATTCGTCCTCCTTATGTCAAAATACCCCCGCGGATACCGACTTTCGCGCAAATCCGTTGACGAACAACCGGTGTCAATCTTTGGCCATCTTGAACTTTAACCGGCCGCCATTTTGAAACGGTTTGAGATATTGACTGCGGGTTTGCTCAAAAAGTTTTTTTTATTTTTAGGCTCTTTCGAACGAGATACCACAAAGGGGAATCTTGAAAAAAAGTTGGGGTCCGTTGCTCCCTCAAGGGGACCCCCTGAAAATTTCAGGGGGCCTCGCGTAAAAAAACATTGCTGTAATACCCAGGAGGGTGGGTAAAATAGAAATTTAATATTGCTAAAAACAGGACTTGCAATGTGCGTGGCAAAACAACAAAACAAATTTTTGCTGGATAAGCATGATAAAAAAATGCGATTTTCGCAATGTGAAAATTGCTAGTACACTCACATATGAGCGATGCGAAAATTGCCGAATAAATTTGCTGGTTTTGCAAAATGATTGTTAGGTTAGAAATCTCATTTTGCGATTTTCGCAATAGCAAAATACAACCGTGTGCGCGCGCTCTATAGGAGACTTTTTCGGTACTATTCCTCTTTCGAATGTGCAGCTGCGTTAAGACCTTGTCCCACGATCAAATGAACTTATCAAATAGTCATTGAATGCAAGATGGCGACTGGTTTTCGCCCAAATTCGCTATCAAATGTTAATGGGCCGTCAAATGTTGATGAACCCGCCATCTTGCATTTGATGACTATTTGATGAGTTCATTTGATCGTGGGACGAGGGCTCAAGGGGCCAAGAGGTGGATCGAAGAGTTTTTACTTACCTTAAAATCCGCGCCGTCCTATGGAACCCACGCCTCGTGATGCAGTTAATGTCCGAGGTCCAGCACTCTACCACTAGACCATCCAAGCTTGATATGAATGGGCCCCTACAGTCAATCTGTTAAACTATCGCAGGCCTCTGAGTCCGTAATATACAAGTTCATTGATGGATTCATATAATAGTTGGTACCAGTAAAGATCATCAGTACCAAAAACGTCTCCCAGAGCGCGCGTACACGGTTGTATTTTGCTGTTGCGAAAATCGCAAAATGAGATTTCTAACTTAACGATAATTTTGCAAAATCAGCAATTTTACACAATTTGCTAATTCAACAAAATTAAATTGTACAAATAGCTTTTTTAACTGTTATAATCGCAATAATAACGCTACATTCACAATACAGGGTGTGCCAAAAGTCCGTCCCACCTCTGCTAACTTTTGAACGAATTGAGCTAGGGTAATGAAACTTTGAGAATGTTCCTATCTCAAAGGGGACCATCTTTTGGGGGAGGGGGGTCAAAATTTTGGTCCCCCCCAGGGGGGGCGCGGGAACACCAACTTTTTTTTTCAAATGGCAACCCCTATCTTGTGATACCTCATTCGAAAGAGCATAAAAAACTAAGACGTTTGGCGCAAATTGCAGATCAATATCTTAATTTTTGACCGAGTTATGATAGGTCAAAGGTCAAATTTGACCTATTTTCAAAAATGCATAACTCCGCTTCAAATTATCGTAAAGAAAAAAATAAAACGGGAAAATTTACCAAATTGTGTCCGCTTTTAAGTAAAAATTGCAGAAATCACTTCGTTTTAATTTTAAGGGGGGCTCGGACCCCCAAATACGTCAATTCAAAGGTCATTCAATTTCCCCGCGAAATAAGCCAATTTCCCCTAGATTTGCCTCCACGTCATCTCAGGAAGGTCAAAATCAGCTCAACATTACGTTGGCAAGTCCCCAAATTTCGGGAAAAGTTAAAAAAACGAAATTTAAACGGTCAAATTTAATCACCTTAAATTTCGTTTTTTTTTTTACTTTTCCCGAAATTTGGGGACTTGCCAACGTAATGTTGAACTGATTCTGACCTTCCTGAGATGACGTGGAGGCAAATCTAGGGGAAATTGGCTTATTTCGCGGGAAAATTGAATGACCTATGAATTGACGTATTTGGGGGTCCGAGCCCCCCTTAAAATTAAAACGAAGTGATTTCTGCAATTTTTACTTAAAAGCGGACACAATTTGGTAAATTTTCCCGTTTTATTTTTTTCTTTACGATAATTTGAAGCGGAGTTATGCATTTTTGAAAATAGGTCAAATTTGACCTTTGGCCTATCATAACTCGGTCAAAAATTAAGATATTGATCTGCCAAACGTCTTAGTTTTTTATGCTCTTTCGAATGAGGTATCACAAGATAGGGGTTGCCATTTGAAAAAAAAAGTTGGGGCCCCCCGCGCCCCCCCCCTTGAGGGGCCAACATTTTGACCCCTCTCCCCCAAAAGATGGTCCCCTTTGAGATAGGAACATTCCCAAAGTTTCATTACCCTAGCTCAATTCGTTCAAAAGTTAGCAGGGGTGGGACGGACTTTTGGTACACCCTGTATATCTTGTAAAAACAGCAATTTATGAGGTGGTGAAAATCGCAATATTGAGTTTGCTAAAGTAGCGATTGATTTTAATAAGTTTCGCAAAATAATTAGTAAAAAGAGCAAAACCATACGCTAATTCGGCAAACACTTTGCAAATCTAGCAAAAATTTTAGCGATAACAGTATAAACTATAGTCACGTCATTTTCGCAAAATCTTAGTTTGCTATTTTTGCACAATAAAATTACTATTTTTCAAATTGTTCTGCCATTCGCGACAAAAGGGTAGGCATTTTAGCAAAAAAGCGAATTGCATAAATCGCAAACCATTTTTTGCCATTTTAGCAAATATTTTTTTTTTTCCGTGTAAAAAGTAGCTCCTTTTGACCTAAGGACATCCCCCAAGTGTCAAATCTTTACCTCTATTAGGTACTTAGGAAGTGAAAGGGGATGGAAGGGACTTTTGAATCACCCTGCCTGTATAGGTACTACCAGACAAATCAATGAACGTGCTGCAATGTCAACAGTGTCATTGTCGATGAGGAGAGGGAGTCTCTTAACTTTCTAGTGGAATTTTGGATAGTTTTGATATTAGCGGCTTACTTCCACATGAGTTAAGGTTTAGACGGGGAGTGGTCGTTTTGCTTTGAAGAAGTCTGAAGGTCTCACACAGGTTATTAAACGGAAAATGACTAATTGTGGAATAATTTTATGATATCTGCATACATTTACGAATCATGACTGGTAACATATTTAAAATTATCGTCTTCAAGGAAGTGATCTAAGTATTAATGCCAGCAAAATTCGCGTAGCGAGTGACCGGGGGACCAGGGGGCGAAGCCCTCCGCCAGTGACGCATGTGAGCACAGTGAGCTGAAGGAGCTAATCTTATTTATTTTACGAATAAAACCAATTGTCAACAGGTACGCACGCATTTTACAACACCGCTGGAATAAGCCGCACCCCAGTGATCAAGTAAGGACTAGAGGGAGAGGTTATGATAAGAGGGTGGACACAATTTCCGTTGAAAAAATTCTTACCAGGATTGGCGCCATCTCTAAACAGTAAAGGTTGGTGAGCGTACTGAAGATAGTACTGAATGTGTGACATTTCATGGTGAGTCCGTAATAAATCACTCATTGTAATCTCTGTGCACTGTTTTATCCTGCAAATGATGAGCAAATCCAAATAGTAAGTAAACAAACTATCTCTCCGATTTCCCTGCGATAACAGTTTATACACTTTGGAGGAGGAATAATGCAGAGGAATGAATAACTAGAATCATTAATATAAACTTTGAAGGATTCAGACTTTCAGTCAATTCCACATTTTTTCTATTTTACTCGAGACGTTGCGAGATTGTGCGACAAATGTGAATATTTTACATGGATTTGAATTGGGAAAAGTGCTGAAAAAGAAACTTATCTGGCAACAGCAGAGCCCCAGAGAGACGAGAGGCTGCCTTCCTGGGAAAGCCCATGATTTAGCCGGAAATGTCATTAAAACAAATTGGTTCCGTTTACAGCTGCAAATGTATACTGGGGGGAGCTATCATCATCATCGTCATCGTCATCGTCATCGTCATCGTCATCGTCATCGTCATCGTCATCGCCATCGTCATCGTCACCGTCACCGTCACCGTCACCGTCACCGTCACCGTCACCGTCACCGTCACCGTCACCGTCACCGTCACCGTCACCGTCACCGTCATCGTCATCATCACCATATATAATTCCGTAAGCCTTTTCTTTGCGTCAAAATTCAGCGCGAACCGCCGGGCCGATCCGTGCGCGGGTGGTACCGGCTCGACCGTCCCGGTCCCCCGACGGCGGGAAAAATATAGGGATCGGCCGGCGTGCCCGGCCCCCCTCGTCTCCCCGGGAAAAACGGTTGTCCTATTGGTCCTGTCGGGAGATGCGCGGTTTTTCGTTTTCCCCGTGCTGCTCGTTCTCGGTCAGCTGATGACTCGGCTGCCCAGTTAATTCGTTTCCCTGGAAATGGCCGTGGATGATGGATTTACTGCGGAAGCGTAGTGCACCGTCGACCGTCGTTGTCTCGCAATTTTTTTGTCTTCAGTCATGGAGAATCCGTGTTCAAAGCGTGGGCGTCCTGCGAGACGTGGGCATGTTTCTCGCAACCCCTCCTTGCGGCTCATCGAGCGGCGTGGCGAAATGCGACTGGTGCTTGATTTACCGTATTCGTTTCGACGGAGCATTTACGATGTTAATGAAAGAGATTTTCCCGAAATTAATCTTGGGCTGTTAACTGTGAAGTGCCAATACTGTGATGCTTTGCATTTCAAAAGGGAGCAGGTGAACGGTCATTTCAACACATGCTGTCACAATGATCTTCTTCGACTGGCGGAGCCTGAAATCAGCGACCAACTTCGTGACCTCTTCTCCAAACCCGTCTTCATGACCAACATTTTGAGGTACAACAGTTGTATGGCTTTTGCATCTTTCTCTGCGTCCAAAGCTCATATACCCGGAGTTGGTCCTTACTGCTTCAAAATACAGGATCAAAACAGGTAAATCGAATTGGTTTTTAATAATGTTCATCCTTTAATTTTCCGAAAATTTCAATGAATTTTCTTCGCAACTCGATAAAATTGACCACAATTTTCCGGTGAAATTTGGCAACATTCCAATGCAAAGTTGCAAATTTATGATTCTCACGTCTCACCACTTCAAATTCGTTATTAAATGAATGAGCTCCCTGTGGCTTCGCCTGCGTCTTCGTCCCGATTTTTTACTTTCTCGCTCCCCTAGTTACTCCCTCTCTAGGGTGAACTGTTCTTTCATCAAAAGGAAATCAGCTAGTACCCTGGTAAAAATTGCAAGTGTCAGGTCAGTGGCAGATTGCTCTGACGTCAGTGAAATTGGCTCTGAGGTAAGTTTTGAGGACTTGACCCAACACTTAGGTTAGAGGTCAGCACTGAGGTCATGAGAAGGACTTGCGTAAGTGATCAGTTTTGCTGAGGTAAGAAGAGCCACTGACGTCAGGAGGAAGGCTCACCTGCGCGTAGCACCACTTACCTCAGAGATGGATGATGGATATCCATTATCCATCTCAAGAGCGACTGAGGTCTGGACTTGGTACAGAGGGTTAGTCTCTGACATCAGTCCTGACTGAGCTACACATTCTCAAAAAGTAGAGATGGCACCTTCTCCTTCTCTTCCCCTCCCCGTCATTCATTTTCTTCGGGAAGGGCACTTTCTCGGAATGTGGGGAGCAAAAACTTTATCTCACAGAAAGGCATATTTTTTAGGAAGGCGGGCGGAGAATTTTCTTAGAGGGGATGACAATAAATCTCTTGGATATTCACACCCTTACATAGTTGCGAATTCGTTACAAAGTAATGAGAAGAAGCAAAATTACAAACTCACCTAAAGTCTTTTGAGTTACAAAAATCCCATGCCGATGCTTTACAAGCCACCGGCCTGTTAGTCGGTTTTTCTATTAAAGAATATTTCCAAAACTCAGGTGGCATAGGCTTCATACCAATGGATGTAAAAAACTCCTCCGAAGTTTGAAATATTCTGAAATAAACCGGTTCAAGAATCAACCAAGCAAATTAAAATACGTATACATACAAGATTTATTATCTTACAGGTGTTCACATAAATTTGGTAGGGAACGAAGTGTCGAATGGAAGTAAGTCAAATTTTCAAACATATAAAATGGAAAAAGTAATGAGATATACGAAAAAAGGTTAAATTGGTGGTACCTATTATTTTAATATTGGTTAATGATTTGCATCGAAATGGCGTAAGGATAGGTGATGAGATAGGCTCCGCGCGCGCGGTGACACCGGTAGCCGATGATGCGCTAGTGTTGTGATAGGATTACGGTACATACCAAATGTCCGGTTGGTGATAACAATGGCTACAAACACTCCTGGTAAGTTCTTCAATATATATTTCATCATAAGAATCCTTTTTTCAACTTTTAAACATTACTATTGAACATGTTTATCGATGGAACTCAACATTAACATTACTATTTTCCTCTTTTCCTAGAACTTTAAAGACGTTTTTTTAAAAGAACGTACATTGTCGTATTTTCCTGACAAGTTATATTGATTGCAAATTCCATGTAGATTCTGCATTTTAAAGTCTCATCTGCGTCTGGCTGCACATAACAAAGTTATGTTGCTTTTTCTGTCTGTAGGTCTTGCTCTGAAAAACTCTGATCTCTTCGACTTGTGGACACGGGCATCGAAGGAGTGAGTTACAACAATTGAGGGGAAACTCCGAGAACAGTTCGCAAACCAACATGTCTCCGACGAAAACTGGACGAATTTTGTTGTATTTTTTATGAGTTTTTTGTTTTTCGCCCTTCTTTTTTCTCTTGTCTCTTGTGAAGTTTAGTTTTGATGTTAATTTTCGGTGATATTTTAGTGTGATTAATTTTTTTATTTTTTGAAGTGCCTTTTCCATTTTATTAAAGACTTGTAATATGACCAAATCCAAGTGTTAATCCTTTTCTCATGCTGATCCTCGGAAACCTCATCATTTTGTTGTGTACATTTGAATTTTTCAGCTTTCATTTCACGCAACATTGAAATTCGGAACTAAAGAAAGGATAGACCTTAGTCTAGTTACCTAGGCCCAGGGTTAAAAAATAAAATATGCGTCGCTAGTATCTGTAAGTATACAGTCGATTTTTGGAGGGAGCTTGTGTGAATCTATACCTAGGTACATATTTATCCTTGGATTATTGCTAAAAAAACTGATTTTTCCAGGCGTGTCGGCAACACTGTATTTAAAATGAAGGGGTCACGAGAGGGTCAGAGACCCTCGTAAGCCTTATTAGTTGTGATTTCAGGTTGATTTTTTTCTCTTTTTCCCACAAAAATAATGTAATCATGTCATTAAACTAAGTAAGAAAATAACAGGCACATTTGGCAACACTATATTCAATCATTTGGGGAAGTTTGAAAACTTTGACTGATACAAGCACAGCTGATACCTACTGAATACAAGCAAACGTGATGAATACTTATAACACTGTCAAAAGAGCCTCCCGAAATTTGGCCCCTTTTTAGGTATTCGATTCGACCATCGGACCAAGGTTTAAATGGAAGCTTATAGTAACAGAAAACACAGGAAAAAAATTCAAGATGAGTATAGGAACCGTTTTCGAGTTACGGGGGGGCAAAGGGGTCACAATCTGGCCTAATTTTTTGCTGTTTTCTTGTAGAATTGATGTATCGGCGGGGTTCTTATCGTTGTTTACGCATGTGTAGCACATGGATTCCTACGTGTTTTTACACGTGGAATCGATTTTTAACGTTGCCGAATCGATATATTGATCAGTTAAATCGATTTTGAACGATTTTATAAGGAAAATCGATGCTATTTCAGGATCGAAATTGTTTATTTTCGATTCATGAATGAATAAATGCACCTGAAATGACTGAAGCACATGTAACCCTAAATCTCATCAATTCAATACAATTGATCGATATATCGACTTATCGCGGTTATATATCGATTCCACGTATAAAAATTCGTAAGAGTCGATGTGCTCCAATCATGTTGGGTACATATCTCCGATCTCGGATGGAGCAAACCCGATTTTAATTCCGCTAAGTCATCGATTTTCCGTAAAAAGTCGCAAAAATTCGATACAAACTGTAGATAAATCGACTCGTCAATTTTAAAAATCAATTTTTCGTGTCAAAATACATAGGGTTACATGTGCTTCAGTCATTTCTGGTGCATTTATTCATTCATGAATCGAAAATAAACAATTTCGATCCTGAAATAGCATCGATTTTCCTTAAAAAATCGTTCAAAATCGATTTAACTGATCAATATATCGATTCGGCAACGTTAAAAAT